GTATAATTAAAATCATAAATGGTACCAAACACGGTATAATTAAAATCATAATTACTTGTATAGCAAGCCTTTAGGAGGAATTCTACCGTAAATGTTACATCCCAAACTTTTATGGCTTGTTACATAAGTAATTACGATCGTAATCATATCGTGTTTGGTGTCATTTTAATCAGAAAAACAAGACAAATACGATGGTAAAAGTTCCATTGACGGAAAACCAAAAGTAAAGAATTTTAATTTTTAAATTTAAAAGACAGAACACGCACGAGACTTTCATGTTTGCCGAACGCTCGAGACTCTGTCCCTCCTTGTCTTTTGTATCGCTGGCTCTTTTTACGTTCGGTACACTACAAAGAATGTAGGACCTCTACCGTAAATGTTACAATCGAGACCGGCAAAAGTAACATTTACGGAGAGAATACTGTACTATTATTGAGCAAGCGAGCCGAAGGCGAGCGAAACTCTTATACCTGACTTTGCAACTTCTTTGTCCGCGTTTTTCTTTTGTACCACTCAACCAATTCTCATCAAATTTCGCACGCACATGCGCATGTAAGTACATCTAGATGGACACGCACATGCGTATGTGCATCCAGATGACATAGAAAAAAAAATTTTAAATCGGACGTACCACGGAGGAATAATTACCGAAAAACCAAAACTAGATCCCCGTAGACTTCAATGCAAAATTGAATTTGCTCGTGCTTATGAACTTGATTTTTCAACTTTTTTGTCCACGTTTTTCTCTTGCACCACTCAACCAATTCTCATGAAGAGTGCGGATCACATGGTTGACTATTTTTGCTTTAGCGTGAAATTTACTCGCTCGCTCAACATTGTTACGTTAAGCGCGGAGCGCCTCAATCAAACAGACCTAGTTATTTTAAATGTGACTAACATCCCATTTTTCTTTGTAACGAAAATCATAATGGAATAAAACAAGTTATACAATATGATTTAAGGCAATAATAAACAAACAAACAAGTTATACAAGAAGAATATCATGTTTAGTGTCATTTTAACCGGGAAGATCTCACGAATACGATGAAAAAGTTTTCAGTTAAAAAATAATTAAATTCAAAAGTTTTAATATTGTCTTCTGAATTGCTAAACTAGAAAGTCTTATCGAAAGAGTCGTACTTCGATGAAGAAAACATAATAATAAATACACAAGCATATTTACATTAGATAGGGGCAATATGAGGATATCGTAAGTAAGGACATTATGAGTGACATTACTGCATATTTCTTTAATACTTCCGTGGTAAAATATTATTAAATAAACCGTTCAACTTCTTGGGATATTATGCGAAATAATAATGGTAGTGAAATTTCGGTACGTGAAACTAGAACACCTTTAAATTGTGATTTTATAAATGTCTATAACTACATTAACGATAGATTCGATAACGAAATGTAACGACTCTGGAACCTAGATTCAGATAGTTACTAGCGCTAGTAAGGTAAAGAGCGGCTTTTACCAACTGAACGACTCGTTTTGGAAAATAACTAAATCTAAAGATTGTGACTAAATCTAAAGATTGTGGGATTCGTGTGGTGTGCGGTTAAGGAGTGAAATCCACAGGTCAATATCTTTCAACAATAAGGTTTATTCAATAAAATAATGAAGATAATGAATTTAACAAATAACAAGTAACAAATAACAACATAATATGAAAAGTATACTGGTTTGATCAAAAGAGACTAAATAGATTTTGATATAATATTAATAATAGAAATAATAGAACTTGGCAAATTAAACAATACGTAATAGGTAATTGTGAATCTAACAAAGTGACTCTCGCTAGTTAATACTTTATATGTATTATATCGTACCTAAGTCTGATTTCGGATGAAGCTAACTTCGCTTTTATATTCTCACCGGTCAAACGGTATAAACAAGATAACGCGTGGTCCAAACGTCGAAAACAAGATAAGCCGAAAACGGTAACGCAATCAGGAGATAAGCAAGAGTATAAAAGAAAAAGCAGGCCGGCGCACGCGACATTAATCATCGGGCAACAATAATATACACTCAAGATAGTCGGAGCTAAGGTTTCGGGTCGGATTGGGAGAACATTCGATTGTAACAAATTGCGCACATTGTAAAGTGCTGTAGTAATTAAGGAGTAAAATAAATATTTTTTTTTAAAACACAAACTGATCGCTCTCCCGCGTAACAATATAATTAACTGAATTCGGTTTTCTATAAGATTTGATTCTCGGTTTCGAACGCTATCGCAATGACAAAGTTTATCTTGATTAATACGTTTGTAGTTTATATAATGAATTATTCTTTTATGAAATTAATAATATTAGCGCGTTATAGTCTACCGCAGCGAGGAACACGACCTAAGTGTGATTCTCTAAGTGTACCTAAATACGCTTTCGCAAAGTTAGACAGATTAATGATTTTATCTGATATCTAACGCAGTGTAGTCGACTACTGAGATTACGCTGATGACAGAACAATATTCTTTTACTAATTCAAGTTCAAATTTTGTTTGAATCTAATTGAATTATTTCCTCGGAACAGTTACTCTTTCTTAATTTGTCTCGACAACTAATTGTCCATGACCCTTTTTGTCATGAGACCGTTTTAATGGGGAGCCTGTTGTTCACTGGCTACTAGAACGACCCACGACCAAGTATCCAAATGGCGTATACCCGTTTTACCAGTCAAGTATTAAGAATCGTTGCGGCTCTTGACAGCGAAAACTGTTCCGGTTATACTTATCCAGGAGACCTCTAGTTTGCTCGACTTCGAAAACTATTCTGCCATTTAGGCGGGTTTCGCTCGGCCTTTTATACTCGCCAGCCTGACAATTTCTTAGAAAACTCTGGCAATTATTTCTTGGAAAACTCCCATAATGTCGAAATATATAATTGTCGTATAAATTCGCAATTAGACATTAATTATGAAAACAAACGATTTAATTACATTATCAATATCGCATTCTACATAATAGTTTATGTTGTTGAAACAAAAGTAGCAATTTAATAGTGTTTTAATGAAAATCGCATTTTCTATCCTCCTCTATGTACTACGCACGATTTTTATACGGATTGAATCTAAATGTATAAGCATACGGTGTTTCTAGAACATTCCATTGAACAATATTATAATTTACAATATTCACTGCAATAAACTAACATCTGACTCTATTTCCGGATAACATAATATTAGTAGGATAACATA